AGGGTTTAGGAACAAGCGCCTAAGAAGTATGCGGTGATGGTGGTAAAATTACCGTCTTTTTGTTCAGTTTTTTATTTTTTTTTTGTCTTAACAGATCCCCGATCCTAGGTCCTAGATCCTCGATCCTCGATCCTCGATCCTCGATCCTGGTCTTCCAGTAAACCCAAGCGACCTCCAAACACCCGACGTCATATTGAATAATATTGAATACTAATAAAAAACTCGTCCCCATGGTTTTCTTGTTTTCCGAAACGAAACCGGACGAGGATGTTGTTGAATTTTTTTGTGTGTGCAAGCAGTTGCAAGAAAAGTCTTTGGTCCTTTTGTCCTCATTGATCGCCTTTCTAATTAAGTACATTTCTTACTTTCGTTTGTAATTGCTTCATTAGTTCTGTAACCTAGAAGAAAGGCAGGATAATCGAAACATTAACATCGCGTCCATCGCGTGACTAACACAGTATTTGCCTGGAACTCTTCATCATCTTTCTTCCGAAGGATGAGATGGGCTTATCAAGTTGATCCTTCGACCGTGATGTGTCATCGATCGAGGTAAGTAAAACGTAAGCTATTTTTGTTGGCGAGATGTGTGAACATTACCACTATGATTTATTCTGGCCGACAAACCTTACACAAATAGGAATTCTTTTATTTATATTGCCAGTCGAACACAGCCACCTGTCCACTATATAATACTTTATTCAAGAGATAGAAATTAACATTAAAATATCTCTGACGTGCGTCTGCGTCAGCTCGGACGCGTCAGAAAGGACAAGATTTTTCTTTTGATATTCACTGTAACAACTTTGCTTTGTGGCGCACTATTGTGAAAAACAAAACAATTTCCAGGGTTTTGAAGAAGCTTGATAGTCGCTCATTCTAAGACCCCTTCTAAGCAAATTTTCATGAGGGACTTTAGCCGGGGTTAATCGATCTAAATTTCGTGATGTGCAGGGTTTCGTTTTTAAAATCGCTTGGCATCTTACTTTTTTATTTGTAATTGCAATTCAAGGTTCATACCCCGAAGAAAACAAGCCGTTCTTTAACTCGATAATTCGATGGAAACCTAAAAAAACAAAGCGTCTTTGTAAAGTGAACACTTCAGCACGAGGGACGCCGAATTATAGAATTTTATTACGCTAATTATGATAATCCCGATTAGCATAATCTGATAGCGTCACGAAATAAAATTGTAGAAAATTCCAAGCCGTTCTATATTTCCGAACGATTTTCGGGTTGTTCGGCTTAGATATTGAAAAAAAATATTTGTTACTACCATATAACACAAGATAGACACATTTCCTGGCGAAATGACATTCCTTATAAATTTGAAAATGTTTTATCCAGAAATATGCCTTGTAATTTTTTTTGGCGGCATATTATGGGTTTCTGGAGACCGAAATATTTTTTTTTCTGAAAATTTAATTTTTGCCCCTTCCAATAAGGTATAGCTTTTTATTTTTTTCCAAGCTTGCGAGCGGGCGGAACCCTCCAAATCCTGCAATCTAATTGGTTCCGAGAGCGGGCGGTCTTGCCCGCTACCCAACACACGTACCCGGTTTTTCACCTTTAATGTTAATAATTTGCGCGAATTTTCACTACCTCTGCTAGCAAATTCCTCGGGTACTAAAAGTTGTGATAAAAAATGCAGGCCGCGCCAACCAACAAATAATGAAAGTGTGTTCATATGTGCCGATCGGAGGTTCGACTTTTGATGTTGATTGTCATGTTGTGAAGTTCCTTATTAGCGCTTACTCAAGATAATTTTGTAAGTGATGCTTTCTTCCGCATTATTTTTACGGTACATTAGCTTGGTTTCGATTGTGTGAAATGTGACTGTTTCCTCGATTCTTGAAATATGTCATCGAAATACTTGTAGATGTGCATCGGGTATTTAAAAGTTCGAGTTTCAATGGGAAGCGAAAGTTGCACTTGGCGTATTGCATTTTTTTTTCAGCATGTGCCGCGCCAATCCACCAGTTTGAAGCTTGTTGATCATTCACCATCACAATTGACACCTCTAATCAAAGAGTTAGCTCATACATACTAATTAATTTGCACTGACGCATTTCAGAGAAGACGCGTCTGTCCGTTAGCTCAGACGCATGAACGCGTCCGGCCTGACGCAATTGACTCTAAACTATTAAAAGAAAATCTAAAAACAATAGCAAAAACTAGAAGCTAAAACAATTTGCATATCATAATTGAAAATATTTACAATAACATTAATTAATTTTCATATAAATCCTCAATCGGTTGTGAAGTAAAGTCAATGATCCTGCATGTACAAGGTCTATGGCAAGTTATTCCACACTGTGACGATAGGTTTTATACCCTTCCAAGCACAAATCGGGAAAATAAGCGTTAAGAGAATTCAAGCGACTTCAGCGAATGAACAACAAGGGGAAAACTAACTCTGCAACTCGCTTGGCTAGCGAGAAAGGAACTCGTCACTATTCCAAGGTACAGGATCTGCTACAACAGGAAACAGGACAGCACTCAAACTTGGACTTCAACAGTTAAATCTTCAGCTCGTGAACGTAAATCATACAGTCAAGTAAATGCGCAATGTAAATCGAAAAACAGGAATAACAATGCTCTATTTATACTAACCGATCAACTTTTTACAACATCACAAAACAAGTGGATAAGAAGGCTGAATAAAATCAGCTGAACAGCGAAAGCAAATCTCGATAAATTCAGTTTTAAAGTTCATATGCAACTAAGTAACCCAAAATTAAATGTCAGTCAAGCAAGTGAATTTAGGAAATTTACAAAGAAAGCTGTATAAAAGACTGAATTCGAGTTTCCTTTGCTCAGGATTCCCTAAAATGTCAAAACCAAAAACTAAGACGGTTGGTATTTGAACAGGAGAAAGATCCAGTTGTTCAGTGACTAAGCTGTATAATTATTCAGAAACTAACTATCCGTTTAAAAGTAAACATTGAAGTAAAATGTGTAAATTTAAGAGAACTAAAACATATCAATGCAAATTCAATGTAAATTACGGCTAAAACAACTTCAAAGGGAATATTTAAAAGGTAGATAAGAAATTCGAGGCAAATAAAGAATTCATGGGCAATCTCTCCTTACAACACATTAACGACAGATTTTGAAGTCGAAATTTATAGGCTGATGAAGGAAATTCATTTTGCGCGGCTGAAAATAGCTGCAATTTTACCCACTACAGGTTTAGAGCAACAGAGAATGTTATGACGAAGACAAAACAAGACTAAGTGACGAATTAAGATCATCACGGAACACCTTTTAGAGCTCTGTTTTTTCAATATGTCAAACATTAGTTAATGTAGTCTCCTTTATCAGGGGCACCCAACGAGAATATAGTTCAAAACCACTTAAACATAGCATTATCAAATGTATTTTAGTATTTAAACCGTAGATATAGGCATATTTTTATCCCCTAAAAATTTTTCATCTCTTCGGATTTCCTAGCTGAAAGTCTAGTGATCCGAAAATTGTAGGGATCAAAACTTACCTTTTCGAAAACTTTAGCCAGAAAATAGGCTCCCGAAAATTCTAGGTGAACTTTTTAGGGTAAAAATTAGTTAAAAATGGGCAAGTATAACATTTTTTATTTGTTCGAAAAACCTAGGAGAGGCATGCAAGCAAGAAATTTTACAACAAATGTTCCGAAAATTCTAGATCTCAAATCGTCTTCCGAACAGATATTTCCCCGCAAATTGTCGTTGGGTGCCCCTGCTTTATGTCTTATTTACATCATAAACTAGCTCGGCTGGAAACCTAGTGACTTGCATAATTTATTTGAAAAAGTATGTAAAGATTAAGGAATCCCATCTTTCCACCATGTAATGTGGGCAAACTATTATTATTAAACGGCCAAACGCGTGGGTCACTCATTTCAAAATGATAAGATAGAGATCAGTGCTTGAAAAGATATGTGCTTCAGTTTTTGAGAAATCTACAATAACGGACAAAAGTGTTGAGATACGTCCATTGAATGACCCCTTTTTGCATAAAGTAGTCATATCCCTCTCTCTGTGTACCCACACCCCATCCCCCCAAATTAATGTTGTATCAGTAGCCGAGTCCTGGTTATACTTTAAACCCTCAAGTTTTTCTTCAACAGCAAGTAACATTGATTTGGAAGTGGGGGGTAATGATGTTTAAACAGAATTGAATGATAAATGGATGGAATCGTTGATAAAAGTGTGCTTTTCAGGCAAGTACTGTGTCAAAGATTGTAGTGTGCTTGTTGAACAGTGAATTGATTGTGTAATCGAGTACAACAAGGAAGCTACAGATGCCCTTTACTTTTATCACAAGCTGCTTCTTGGGGAATCAATTAAATTTCAATCCAGTTTGACTGAAGTAAACTTTCAAAAAAACAATCACAGCAACGCAGTTACTTATCTTTTTTTGATACTTCCACCCCAGCCCTGGTTTAACTCAAAAAATAGTATAATGTTAATTAATGCTAGTTATTATGGTGAGCCAATTTGTCACTTGACTATATTCCTAGGGGATACTCCCTTATATGCCGCCCGAAAGGGTTTGGTTTTTGTGGTGATTCGGTCTAAAAACAGGTATAGACTTTGCCCTTTTTGATCTGGAAACAGTGGTGTTGAGGGAACTGCAGGAGCGATCAACACATTTGTCGTTTCAATTCCGAATGAATCAAAAGGAAAGAGTAATATGCAAATTTAAAATGGATTTTTTAAAACAAATCTTCTTGTTGGCCTTCTAATCTAGGTAATGATTACGTAATTTCTACCTTTGTAAACATGTATGTTGCTTTTTGTGACCTACTCTGGGTCTGGAAATAGGTATGGACTTTAGAGGTCAGGTGTGAAAACAGGAGTGGTAAATGTAATATTTTGGTCTGAAATAGGGTCCAAATTTTGGGAACTGGGTGGCACACCTCACCAAGAATTCCCAGGAGTACCCGCTGGGCTACACTGTGGTTGCCAAATGAATATATTTTTTTTAATTTGTTTATTTTAACAGCTAAAAAAATAATCAACATGGCCTCCAGCACAACTTCATATGCATCCTCCAAGGAGACAACAAATTATGCTCGTCTGTGTCGTCTTCTTGTGGATGTAGGATCCCAGGCATTGAGAAACACATTTGATAGTATTCACCCACCGGCAGGCCTACATGGAGTTCTTACAAAGCCTCCTGTACATCCAATACTGCAGACACTTAGAAAGAAGAGAATTCTTAATCCCACTCAATGGGCCAAGCTGTATCCCCCTTCACCTTCATCAGTATCTTCGAAAGATTTTGACGTCACACTTCTCATGTTGCTCTTAAGGAATATATGTGGCTTGATTCCTCCAACCACTGGATGGGATAATCTCCCACCTGCTGCAGATACGAGTGCTGAAGCCAACATAGCTAGGGTTAAGTATTATAGGAACCATGTCTATGGACATGCCAGCCGGGCATCTGTATATGATGCAACATTTAATACCTATTGGCAGGATATAAGCAATGCATTGGTAGGACTGGGTGCAGATGCTGCTGCTATCAATAGACTGAAGACTGAGAGTATGGATCCTGTTATTGAGAAACACTACCAAGTAGTACTGGGGGAGTGGAAGAAAGATGATGATAGCAGTAAATACAGACTTGATGAGATTGAAGGTAACTTGAAAAGTCAGTAATTATTGTGGATTGAAGAAATAACGATAATCTTGTAACACTGTTATGCATAAAGAAATGCTGCAACTGAGGGTGCAAGGCATGGATCGTTTCAGTTAAGAGGATACATGTCAAGGAAGAGTGTTGGGAACTTCATGGCCTGCAATACATTCCCTATATTTTAGTAGGCTGTAATGACTGGCAAACACCCAAGACCAAGCCTAAATTTCAGCTGTTCCTTCGAGTTAGCTTCAGCTGACATTTAGGTTATCCTAGACCCTCCTGAAAAAGAAAAAAGACGATTTGTAAAAAAAGTGGTACTGGTGATGGTATTTTATAGCTTTACCCCCCCAAGAAACTCTTGTACCCTTGAGGTATTCTTGTGAACACTTGCTTGATAATGATTCCAGTTAACTAGACTTTTACCTGTGATTCCTCCTGGACTGATCAATGGATTTTTGATTCTGATAACAAACAGAGCTACTAAAGCGCATGAATGATCAGCTAATGGAAAGTCAAAGGAAAATTATAGAAAGTTTGACAGATCATGCAGCAGAAACAAAGCAAGAAAAAGGTATGTCTATCACTTTATAATAGACCTTGGTTGTATTCTAGAGGGCACTTAATATACATGCTCTACCTTGCACAACTTACAACCAGATTTACATTAAATTTTCAGCTTAGACCCATCAATCGCACCGTTGAAGTTTTTCCCTCTGGTATTTAAAAGTGATGAGCCTTTTTTTGCTTTTTGTTTTTTTTTTTCGAAAACATCATCAATTAGTTCTAACCACCAAGAAAAACAGTCTCTTGCCAACGAACATACTTCTTTAGATGGAAGGGTAAATTAAAACAAACATTATTTGTATTTATTTTTGTATGTACGCTATACTCGCCTTTCCTGTTTCAGGTTTCTCTTTTGTCCAGTTTCTGAGACTCATCTTACAATGATAGCACAATCGCACCCCTTTAATACGGACACTAGGGGTGGGATGCGGTAGAAATAGTGTCCTCATTTACAGGTGTTTGTTTGAGGGAGATTGAATTTAGAGATAATGTTAGGGCTTTCCCTGCAACAAAAAAACTGTTTGTAATAACGAGGTGCCCGCATTAAGCGGACGTCCGTTGAACTTTAGAGAACTGCTTATTCAATATGTCAAACATTTGTTAACGTAGTTTCCTTATTTACATCATAAACTAGCTCGGCTGGAAACCTAGTGACTCACATAATTTATTTGAAAAAGTATGTAAAGATTAAGGAATCCCATCTTTCCACCATGTAACGTGGGCACACTATTATTATCGAACGACCAAACGCTTGGGTCACTCATTTCAAAATGATAACATGGAGATCAGTGCTTGAAAAGATATGTGCTTCAGTTTTTGAGAAATCTACAATAAGGGACAAAAGTGTTGAGATATGTCCATTGAATGACCCCTTTTTGCATAAGGTAGTCATATCCCTCTCCCTGTGTACCCCCACCCCATCCCCCCCAAATTAATGTTGTATCAGGAGCCGAGTCCTGGTTGTACTTTAAACCCTCAAGTTTTTCCTCAACAGCAAGTAACATTGATTTGGGGGTGGGGGGATAATGATGTTTAAACAGAATTGTATGATAAATGGATGAAATTGTTGATAAAAGTCTGCTTTTCAGGCAAGTACTGTGTCAAAGATTGTAGCTTGCTTGTTGAACAGTGAATTGATTGTGTGATCGCGTACAACAAGGAAGCTACAGATACCCTCGTCTTTTATCACAAGCTGCTTCTTGGGGAATGTTTGTAATAACGAGGTGCCCGCATTAAGCGGACGTCCGTTGAACTTGGTTAGACTAACGCGGTGCTATGATTTTTTTTTCTATCAGGTGCTTTTGACCCAACTGAATTTATCGATGGCATTCGCCAACTCTACAGCACCCGTGAAAGATGGATTGCACCCTTTCCGTGGTGGGAAAAATTTCGGTTAAGCCTTGATAACAATTTTACCAGACTCAAAATAGTGAGCAGGAAGAAAGAAAGAGGGAAAAAGACTGATGAAACTGTTACGATGAAGGATATCTTCAAACCACACGAGGAATGCTTACATCCTAGGACGGTGTTGATTGAAGGGAAGCCAGGTATAGGAAAGACCACATTCTGTAATAAACTTGCTTACGACTGGGCAACGAAGAAGCAAGGGGAGGAAAATCCTTCAGGAAGTTTATTCCCAAACTTCCAACTAGTTTTGTTGCTTAAGTGCCGAGAAATAGAGTCTTACCTTTGCCGGGAAGGACAGCTTTTACCTCGATCCAAGAAGGAACAACTGGAAGAAATCTTTAAATCCGTTCTTTGGAACGCCATTGATGATCAACTTCTACCTCAAGATGTCACAAAAGAAGAAAAGGAGGAATTCTTCAAATTCATTCGCCACAATCAGCCAGACATTTTACTGGTACTTGACGGATTGGATGAGTTGCCTACCAATATGTTACCAGCGTTTAAGGAAGTAATTCAAGGAAGAATCTTACAGAGATGTCACATTGTAGTCACAGCACGACAGGAGGTTGGTATGGAGGTGCGCGAATGCTGCGATAGGTTGCTAGAAATTGAAGGTTTTACCAAAGACGACGCCCGAGAGTTTATCGTCAAATACTTCAAAGAGGACGCTCATTTGGCCGAGAAGCTATTAATCAAACTAAACCTTGACGAAAACCTCAGACAGTTGACAGAAAGTCCTTTAAACACTGTACTTCTTTGTCTCCTATGTGAAGACTTTGACGGAATATTTCCAGAGAGTGGTACACAGCTGTATCTAGAAATAGTAGACTGTGTTCTTAGAAGATACATGAAAAAGAATGGTTTACCACTACCAAAGGCCAAGGGCGAAGACCTTACTAAGCTATACAAGACTCAACTGAAACAACTTGGCTCGATCGCGTTGAGCGGCCTCCTTCAGAATAACATGTCCTTTGAGGAAAGCAAGTTTGAAAATTGTTCAGACGAATTACCAGAATTTGGCTTTTTGTCCGTTGAGTGTAGTCGGAGCAAACTGCGACCATCTTTATTCTATTCCTTTTTACATAAAACATTTCAGGAACTATTTGCAGCATTTTACCTGTGTTGCCAAATTCTGGATAACACAATTTTTCCAGAAAACATGATAACCGACCATAGATATTTCCATGAGCTCAAACAAGTGCTTGTGTTCACTTGCGGCCTGTTAGCTTTGCAATCTGAAGAAAAGGTAAAGCCTTTGATCGCCAGTATTGCTGTTCAAGCAGACAATGATGATAAATTATTGGTGGCATTACAGTGCATTGGCGAATGTAAAAACGACTCACCTTCTTCTCCTCATTGGCTGTTAGCTCAAACCCTTGGTTCCATTATTCAAATAAAGGAGCTGAACCTGTCAGGCGACTGCCTTGGTCTTAATGAGTGTACTGCACTGGCAGAAACAATCAAGCACAATTCAACAATAACACAGTTGGATTTGTCATACAATGACCTTGGTGAGGCTGAATGTATTGCACTAGCAGAAGCAATCAAACACAATTCAACAATAACACAGTTAAATTTGAGTGACAGTCTTCGAGGCGATAGTCAGTGTACTGCGCTGGCGGAAGCAGTCAAATACAATTCAACACTTACAGAGTTGGATTTGTCATACAATCACCTTTTTGCTGGTGATTGTGACGCATTTGCGGAAGCAATCAAACACAATTCAACAATAACACAGTTGGATTTATCATACAATCAACTTGATGATGATGGCTGTACTGCACTGGCGGAAGCAATCAAACACAATTCAACTATGATACAGTTGGATTTGTCATACAATCTCCTTGGTACTGGTGACTGTACTGCTCTGGCGAAAGCAATCAAACACAATTCAGTATTAACACATTTGGATTTGTCATGCAATGTATTTGGTGCTGGTGACTGTACTGCGCTGGTGGAAGCAATCAAACACAATTCAGCAATAACACAGTTGGATTTGAGAGGCAGTTTTCGTGGTGCTGATTACTGTCATGTACTGACGGAAATAATCAAACACAATTCAACAATAACGCAGTTGGATTTGTCATACAATGGCCTTGGATTTGGTGACTGCACTGCTCTGGGGGAAGCAATCAAACACAATTCAACTATAACACTGTTGGATTTGTCACACAATGAGCTTTGTTATGGTGACTGTACTGCACTAACGGAAGCAATCAAACACAATTCAACAATAACGCAATTGGATTTGTCAAACAATATCCTTGGTGCTGGTGAATTTGGTGCACTGGTGGAAGCAATCATTTGCAATTCAACAATAACACGGTTGGATTTGTCACACAATGACATCGATGCTGGTAACTGTACTGCACTGGCGGAAGCAATCATTTGCAATTCTACAATAACACAAATAAATTTGTCAAACAATGGCCTTGGTTTTGGTGACTGCACAGCACTGGCGGAAGCAATTAAACACAATTCAACAATAACGCATTTGGATTTGTCCTTTAATAGCCTTGGTGCTGGTGACTTTACTGCACTGGCGGAAGCAATCAAACACCATTCAACATTGACACAGTTGGATTTGTCAAGCAATCTCCTTGATGATTCTGACCGTAATGTATTGGCGGAAGCAATCAGACACAATTCAACAATAACGCTGTTGGATTTGTCACACAATCTCCTTGGTACTGGTGACTGTACTGCACTGGCAGAAGCAATCAAACATAATTCAACATTAACACAGTTGGATTTGTCACGCAATGGCTTTGGTACTGGTGACTGCACTGCACTGGCTGAAGCAATCAAACACAATTCAACAATAACACAGTTGGATTTGTTACACAATCAACTCGGGAACGGTGACTGCACTGGTTGAAGCATCAAACATAATTCAACAATAACGCAGTTGTTACGCAATCTCTTTGGTACTGGTGACTGTACTACATTGGAGGAAGTAATCAAACACAATTCAACAATAACGCAGTTGGATTTGTCATGGAATGAACTTGGTACTAGTGACTGTACTGCATCGACGGAAGCAATCAATCACAATTCCTTAATAAGAGTTCAATTTTTCAAATAGTGGTTTCTCTTCTGTGTGACTGTATTTCAAACTGGCGGAAGTATTACTGCACAATTCAACATTAACACAGATGGATTAGTAAATACAGCGTTTAGTATTATTATCTATTGTTAACTCTTTGATGAGACATATATTGTAGTGTTGTTAAAGTAGTACCTGTACCTTGTGAACTGTTTTGATACTGATAGAAAGGTGGACACACATGACGAAGCCCTAAGAACGTCTGCACGTAAGGCTACTTCCTCTCTAGAGAAAAGAAAACCTTATCTAATCTCGCCCCCTACGGTGATCACCCAGCCAGGGACATTTCAAACTTAGAGATAAAAGGGAAATCTGGGACAGAGTTCAACTTCAGTTGTCCTTTTGACATGCGTTGAGGCAAAGAGAATTGTGATTCAGGTGTTGGTTTGACGATCGAGTTAGAGCCCTGCCGAGTGCAATTGCCTGGGCCAATATGTTAAGCATATTTAGCCAAGACGATGCAACGTCGAATGAGAACGCAAATGAAAGCGACATCTGAAGTATCCGATGCATTGGTTATTTCGGTTCTTAGTCTGTCGCCCGCAGAACGTTGTCATTGTTCAATCTACCCAAGACGATATCAATGTATCGGTACACTATCAAGAGACAGCGATAAAGACGATAGAGGAAAGGTCCTTAAGAAAAGTAATTTCGTGTTCTTTCAAGCTTCTGCCGATAATAAGCAAGTTCAGTGTTTCACACTGTATCATCGACATATAAAATACAACGTATCACCTCTACGCCGCTCATCCTTTCACTACGGCGCTGTTCTGTTTGTACTGTTGTGCGGAATAATGTAATCTCTCCTACAATTGAACAGACAAAGCGATTTTTACCCACCTTGACGAAACCCAATGCACGCATAAAATGTTTTGTCCCTTTTATATTGAGGCCGTGGTCAATTTCTGTAGTACTGCTATTATCTGGGTTGCTCCCTATGTTATTCGAGAGGCGAAATCTCTTGGGACGTAGTCGTACGCTGTAATCGAATCCAAAAACACTGCTTTCAACGTTCCCTATTCTCTTAATCGCTGTCTTAACAATTATTATTCTATCAAGTGTCGCTCGATTCTGATGGAGTCCGTATTACTCACTCGCGTAGATTTCGTATGCATCTCTAAATCGATTTTTAAGTTTTGCAAGTGTTCGGCTCATGTTTGCCCTTACAGAGAGTCCACAATACTTAGTAGCCACATTCTTTACCCCTTTTTAAATAGATATGTGATATTGGCGTGTAGTCCTGCATGCTGTTGGAATGACAACACGCGTCCAGATCAAGATTAAGAGGGTAAAGATTGCACCAAACAGGCCCTTGGTGAAGTTTTACTTTAACCCTTTATCTTTCAGCCGCTTTAGTTCCTCCAGTGTGTTGTTGTTCTTAAAGCTCTTGATAACTTCTATAACTTTTCCTTCACCTAGGACATGTTGGTTGATATTTGAATCTTCGTTCCTCAGGTGTCTCTAGTTCAGGGGGTAGTGATGGTTCTCGAACGCAAAGTTCGCCAGTTTCCCGGAAGTACTCATTGTTAAGTTTCCACTTCAGTTTCTTGATGGTTGCGTCTCTCTAAGGGTCTTTCTTGACGTTAACTCCCTGAAATGCGGTGTTCAGTTTCTCCGTCAGTCTTCTTACGATCTCCGGGCTCTCCTGTAGTGCATGGGTATAAGGTGTCTGATTTACTTTATGTTTCAGTGACTTAGGTAGTTGGTGCCGTAACCCGAATCTTGAAGGGGAATTCTATATTAATCACTTATAGGCGATGATTCGTGTCAAACAAACGAAATGTCCAATGTACACTCGGCTGGCAGCCAAGGAAAAAATTGGCAAACCACCTTGTAGTGCAAATATAATCGACCCACTTCCACTGTTCTCTCATGGCATGTCTCCATGTTTTCCGATGGATTCTCCTTGTTCTGAAAACTGAAGAAAAAAAACGTTCAGGTTCAGCGTGATTTTCGTTTCGTTCTTATGCCAGCCTATCAACTCCTCGCATCGTTACTGTCGGTTTCGACCCTGTTAGAGATGTTCATTCCAGGAGTTGGTTCCCATGCTCCAAAGTCCTTGTAGTGCGAGGAGAAGGTGCAGTTAAAATCACCAAGTGTCACTAGTTAATATTTGGGATTCTTGTCAAGTTCAACTTTTGTTGTTGTTATCGCCACGCTATACATTCAGCACTGCAAAGCGTGTCATCTCCACACTAATATTGGCAGGTAAATGTCCCTGATGGTTTACCAGTTTTTTTTTTTCATGTGGGGCTACTAGTTCGCCAACACCATAGACAGGTTTCCTTTTTTGGCCACTCCATAGTAGTTTCCAACTTCGCAAGGATTCATCGTCAAATTTGAATACTCCCGAAGATTTCCGTCTAACCTCTCGCAACGCTAAACGTCAAGTCCAAAGTCACTTGCTGACTTCACTGTTGTTGATCGTCTTAAAATGTTATCACAGTTATTGTTGTAATTCGAGTGTTTTTGTATCCAGCTGTGATAGAAATCAAGTGAAACAAGCAACACAAACGACTCTTGAAAGCTTTAGAATCTATTGAAGGTATGAGGAAGATGAATCTTTTCACGAAACAGATGAATACAGCTCAATGTTAAAGATTTCGTGCAGTACTTACCTGGTCTGCATGGCCGTATTCCGTACAACCAACTGAGAACTCTAAATAAGGAATGAGACATAGAACTTCAAGAACTTCTCCTTAAAGCTCTTGAGGTATTTATGAAGAATAGTGGAGCACGCATGGGTCCTTATACTTCCTAAAAGGAAAGCTTTGCCAAGTACTGTCCCTGAGATCTACGTAGAATTCTATGGATGGGAAGTGGGATGTGAATAACGATCTTTCCGTTACGCTCTCCGTTCTAGGTACCGACAATGCCTTAAAACATATCAACCGGTCTATGAAGGTCACCGATGGTTTGGTTGGGACCCGGGGAGACTCCGCATTTGAAAGTGGTAGGGATGCTCGTCGTCTCGCTTAGGGGTGTAAATTTCGGAGTTTGGTCTCACTTAGGGTGTTCTGGGCAAAACGCCATCATATTTAGCCGTGAAGGTCTCGTTTAGGGTTGCACGCTAAAAAATATAAAAATATATATTGTCTGTGTTTTAACATGGTCTCCTTTAAGGGTCAAAAAAAGCTTGGGCCACCCCCAGATCGGTCTTCTTTAGAGGTTTAATTCAAAATTTCCGACGAGCATCCCCACCCCTTTCATATGCGGAGTCCCCCCCCCCGGGGGGGTTGGGAGAACACTCAACTAGAGCGCGGGTACAAAGTGTTTTTCTTATTACTTATGTTGTGTCAGGACTAGCAGAACAACCGAAAAAGTGGGAGGAGTGACGCTTGTTGGGTCCTTGGTTAAGTTCTAACAGCAAATTGTCAAAACAATTACAATATTTACGAATCCCTTCAACCAAGACGGCAGTGGTTTGTTCAACCAGATGGCGAAAGTTGTGAGTGTACGCGTTCTTAAAAAGAAACGAATCCAAACAAGTTCTGTGAAGTCACCAATGAAAAACTGGCTCTGTTGGGAAATTTTAGTTAACGAGAGTCACAAACAACTTTTAAGTTGTTGACTTGACCACAAAAGTGTTAACGTTTAGAAAGAGGCGCATGCTTAAGAACGGATGTCAGTAAATATCGACCAGAGGTCTACAAAAGTGAAAAATCGAAAATTCTCAAAAAAATTCACAAAGTAGCACTAGGTAAGCTATTAACATAAATGTAATTTTTACTTCGATCCGATAATTATTTTCCTCGTACGGGGGGGTTATTGGTTTCGCGGCTGGTTTTCCAGGCCCGAGACCATGTGTCACAAAAAAATCGTTTTAAAATTCAAATCCATTGTAATGCGGACAACAAATAACTTATTCAGAAGAGTACATAATTGCACACATTTTAAATGGTGATTTTCTCAGTTCGAACGAAAATGTAATATTTTGGAGATTTTTCATTATTTTCAATATTTTGAACGTTTTCGTTCAATGAAAAAATGGCAAATTTCAAAGCCCCAAATCGTCGACTGGTACCTCGATTTCAGTAACGAGTCTTACACTACGTTAAAGAGCGTTATCTCTTCTTTGAAAATCTGTTTTCAAAACTATGGGCAACTTAAAAGAAAATTTTTGACGCCAAAAGATACAAGTAGTACTTTTCTGAAATTTGAGCTTTCCAGACTCAGCGGGCCGATGCTAAAAACTCAGAAAAGTGCAATAAGAAATCAGTTTGAGCAACAGTGGTTCGACGTTATCAGCTATCAGAAACCAACAGGTGTTTATCGAGCGATCTGATAAAATGTAAAGCCGTTTTCCAACAAGAAAAGCAGAGTTTAGCCATCTTCTGCTACCAAACGCACGAGTCACTTTAAGGTTGTCAAAGGGCAAAGCACAATAATAAACTTCAAAAAGCACAACGTTTTGTGCGTCCAGGAATTAGACTTTAGCGGACAGAACAATGCCTACGAGTGCATGTTTCATACCTTAGCATGGGTTTCCTAGATACTGGAAATAAAAAACATCAAGGACAGCATCGGCAAGAGTATCTTCGGCTGCTCTCAAACGACCGAGATATGCGTTACTTTTCACAGATTGACCGCTTACCACCTGTTTTTGGGCTCGCATTTCGACGGAACGCTTGCCTCGAGAGGCGCGCGGCACCGATCTCAACTCTTCTTCACAAGACGTTGAACTGAATTTATCGGAAATATGCCACCACCACCAAAAACACGAGCTTTTTTCCGGTATTTGTCGTTTTTTATACGAAAAGTTAGATTCACGC